TTCCATCACTATAGATAGTAATGGCTATGTATTGTTTGTTATTATAGCAAGATTTTATAGTAACAAATATAACCGTTACTATAAGCCTAATTTTAGCAATGGATTTTGAAATCCGTCACTATAGACTATAGTGACGCCACTTGTAGTGACTGATGACATTTCGTCCCACTTGCAAGTTGCAAGTTGCAATTTATAATCAGAAAAGCATCTTGTTGGAATTTACGATTAATTATAACCAACCTCATTTAGAATTTCAGATGACGCCAGTTGGTCATGAGGCTATGCTATACAGAAATTGGATTCAGTCAATGCAAAGCTCGTTCAAACTGTTATCATAGTTTTGCATTGAGAATACGAGAATATCTCCCCATGATTCCCCATGAAATAAAGCATAGAGGTATGGAGATATTTCCCATATAAGGTCGTAAAATCTGTTCAAATAGTGTTTGAACAGGCTTTGTGCTGACCGAAGCCGATCTCAGCTACACAGCGTCACAGCCTAGAAGCTCACCTCACAATTCTAACGGTGTTGGAACGATAACCTCACAATTCTAATATGTAAATTAATCAAATTCACATAAAAATTAACCAAATAGCCAGCCCAGTTTGGGTATATTCAAAATAACCTGCATTTCTAACCATGCCAAATCTTTGCCCTAACACAAAGTCAATCAGTTACGCTTCTGAGTGTGGCACTAGCGAATTTTGTTCCAGAATCCAAATGACATTCTTCTATTTGTTTCCGGTGCTCTTTGCAAATGTTATGTTAATAAAAGATATTGATCAGCTAAATAGTACGTCCAGAATTTCAACATTGATTGTGTCAAATATTTATATACTATTAATAATTAAGCACGTGTGTTGTATGTGAAAAATTTTTTCATATTAATTATTTGAATTTTAGATATATAATAATCAAAATTAAAATTAAAAATTAACAAAAGTAACAATATGATTAAAAATAAACTCAAATACTCGTAGTAAATGTGCATGTGCATGTGCATTGTATATGGAAATTTTAAATTATTATTACTATTACTATTACTATTACCATTATTATTATTATTATTATTATTATTATTATTATTATTATTATTATTATTATTATTATTATTATTATTATTATTATTATTATTATTATTATTATTATTATTATTATTATTATTATTATTATCCTTTGAGTTGATTCATGGGGATTCGCTGGTTGAACCATGCATTTGGAGATGAAGCAAATTTGTTTCTAAGCTCAAGAGATTAAACCCCAATTCATCATCATCTGAGATTACCGTAGACAACAAAAATCTAAACCCCAATTCATCTGAAGAGGATGAATTTGCTTTTAAGCTTAAGAGATCTCAGGTGTTCCAGCAGAGAAAGTAGTGATCTCTCTAAGGAAGGTAAAGAGAACCCAAAAAGAAATTAAGGCTACCCTCTGTACCCACTGATGGGAGTATTGCCGCGGTTTCCAATGTCCTTGACATTCTCGATGTCAGGGAGAAGAGATGGGTGATGGGGGGAAGGGAAGACGAGGGTTTGGATGGAAGGGTGTTTGGAGAGAAGAGGATGTAGAAAGGGGAGGTTGTTGGGTATTACGAGTATGGTGATGGTTAAGCTACAAATGGCCAACTGGTGGATCAGATCCAGAAGCGGTAGCATGTATCCCTATGCAGGAAAAGGAAATACTAGTATGTGTGTGCCACCGCCGGAGGGATTCGTCGACATCTTGTCGGTGTAGAGAGAGAGAGAGAGGAAAGGGGAAAATAATTGTTGTCTTGTAGACAGTAGCCCTTGAAGAAGAAAGGGGAGGAGAGAAAGGGGAAGGGGAAAAAGAGAGACCGAGGGAGAGAGAGAGAAATGTAAAGGAATCTGAGGTAGAAGGGATTGTTGCCGCTACTGTTCCTGCATCATGAGGTTGGGAAAAGATGAACAATGTTTTTCTTACAAGGGTAGTATGGGGATTAAAAATATTGCAACGGAGGATTTCAACAGAAGGGGGTCTTTGTCTCACGGTCATAGTACAAGGGGGGTTTTGTCGCAAAACAAAGTACATGGGATCTTTGTCATAGATCCCATAGTACAAGGGGGGGTTCTTTGTAATTTACCCGAAATTAAATTTAAAAAATTCACTAATAGTAGTTTAATCTCCAATAATTAATGAAAGTTTTATATTAAATAACAAAACAAAATAAATTTATACATAATCATTAAAAATACATTTATCACAAAAACAATAAATAATTACTTAAATACAATAAATATTGCATAATTTCTTTATTTTAACTATTTAAAATCTAGTTATGTTAAATATTTTGTTATTTAAAATACCTAGTTATTTAAATACTTAAATAATATGTAAAATATTTAATTTTTAAAATATTAGTTATTTATGGAATTTAATTATCCATAAAATCATAATTTATACTATTATTACACGATTTCATTATTAATTTTGTAATATATTAAATTATTATTAATTTCAATATTATGTTATAATTATTTTTTGCTTTAAAGAATTTTTTTAAATTTATTACATAATTTTGTTAAAAATCTAGTTATAATAAATATCTATTTATTTAAATATTTAATTAATCTATAAAGTATTTAAATTTTTTTGTTATTTGAATTGTATTTATTTAAAGCTATTACATATTATTAAAAGTTTGAAAAACATTTAAATTGATGATCCGGAAAAAAATTTTGTGATACATTTTGTAAAAATATAAAATTATTTATTAGATAATTTCGTTATTTAACTTTTTAAAATATAGCTATGATAAATATTTAGTTATTTAAATATTTAAATAATCTATAAAATATTTATTTTTTTTGTTATTTGAATTTTATTTATTTAAATCTATTACATATTATTAAATATTTAAAAAACATTTAAATTGATAATCCGAAAAACATAATTTAAATTGTTAGTTTATAATTTTGTGATATATTTTGTAAAAATATAAAATTATTTTTTTTTGTGTTTTTAATAAATAATTTAATGTTATTATATAATTTTTTCAGAATATTCAAATAATTCTTAAATTTTTTAATCCAAACTTTTTTTTAGATAGATATAGATAAAAAAGTAGGGGAGAGGATAAATAGGAATTGGAGATAATTTAGGAGAGAAACTCTCTACTAAATTAGAGATAATTGTGGAGATAAATAGGAATTAGAGATAATTTAGAAGATAAATAGGAATTAGAGATAATTTGGAAAAAGTGAAGGAGGTAGTTTAGGACAAATTTTAAGAGAAAATTAAAAAAGGAGAAAATTGGAATGACATGGAATAAAAAAAAAACAAAAAATTAAAAAAAAAGGTGAAAATTTCTTGACCGCTTTGTTTTACTACTATATAGCATCCCCGAAAGAAGGCACACAATACATATCACTCTCTAACTCCTCACTTGTTTTTCTCGCCAACCACCCTCCTCGGCTCAACTCGATGACCCCTTGCTCACTTACTAATCTAAGGAGATGTTTGGAAGATAGAACTGTGGCCGTTTTTCAAAAAAAAAAAAAACGGTGCAACATCAGATCCACATAGGCGTTTCAACAAACGCCCATGTATCTCATTATTCGGTTCAATCGATTATTAAAAAATCAGACATGCCTCGAAAATCGGGACCCCACCGATGCATGCGGTTCATGCATCGGTGAACTGTTTCCCTCAACAGTTGACTGATGTGTATCCTATGTGGTGCTTACTTGTCAACACATACATGAAAAACGATAACAAAAATCACCTTACCAAATGTTTTTTTATGACAGAAATGTTTTTTTATAAAAAACAGGTCTTGAAAGCATGGATGTTTTTTTTTTTTAAATCGGTCCTAAAAAATGCCCACGCTGTCTTAGGAAGCAACATGGTTCAACCACTCACATTGATTCATCCTCTATGCCCCTCTATATCTGTTGGTCAAATTTTGACATTAATAATATTAGAAAGGCATGATATTGGGAAGACTTGTAACCAATGAATGGGGATCATAAAAAGTGGTAATCATTCAAGTGGCATTTTTCGCAAGGAGATTTTGATTGATCAAAAGCTCTTTCAGTATATTGTCTTCTCGCGGCATAGATTATTTGTTATTTTCAAAACTCAACCCAAAACATGTTGAATTCTTATATTGCAAAATTTATTTATTTTTCATATAACTATTATATTGCAAAATTTATTTATTTTTCACAAAAAGTATTTTTCAAAAATATGTATTATTTTTCGAAACAAAATCACCCTATTTTTAATATTTCTGCTATGCTGTAGATGTAATCATGTAAACCTTCTTCCAAGAAGGGCACAAGGGAATATACCTGAAAATAATTCTAAAATGAAATGTTTTCCACCACTCAAGCATAAGCAATATCCATTGTAACTAGTGATTCTTAAGCGAGCATATTTGTCAGATATGGGGGCTGACCTGGGAATGGCATATACACACGTGGATTCCACCTCGCTAAACTAGGGGAAAAGAACAAGGAAATAATTTTTCAGACAGCAGGCTGCAGCCACAGAATGAGAGCAGAAAACAAAAACAAATCTGTAAGACAAAGTCCACTCGCATCAATAGATGCAGATTCTTATTCTTGTCAGGAAACGATTGAATGCATTTCTTCCTGATTGTTATGATAAGGCTGCATTTGTTTGGAAAAAAATGATTTCCTTCAATACTCTTATTCGCTAGAAATCCTGGATTCTATTCCTTCCAGATTCTTCCATTTACTTGTAATCAAACACCACAAGACAACAATTTTCAGAAAATCGTTTGCTTTTCTTCATTTTACGTGCAACCAAACGTAGCCTACACACATGGGCGCCCACAAAGAAAAAAGTTTTTGGAAAACAATTTATTCAGAAAAATAAGGAAAAATAAAAATAACCCCGTATTTTTTTTAGTTTTCACAATTTTTATATTTATTTATTTATTTTGACAAAAATGCTACTTCGTCGTCCTTACGAGGCCAAAAAGGCGAAAACTAAAACATAAAGCAAATAAGGAATATAGACATAAAAAGAGAAAAGAAATTCATTACTTCATTTGCAGAGTTGGTCTAATGGCTCTTTTTTTTTGGGTTTTTCAATTAATAAACAAAGTCGGTGGGGAATTCCAACAAAGGATGGTAGACGGTGTTTCGTCTCGCTTGAAATCAGTAAGATTGCCGCACCGAACAAGCAACTACCTGAGCCCACTGCCTTAATCTCGTCTTCACCAGCTGAGGGTTGTCACCTTCACCATTTAAGAAAGAAAAGAAAAGAAAAACAAAGTTAGACTTGTTACGGAGGGATGTATTCTTCTGAAGCAAAGAATCACCCAGAGAAGCCGAGAGCACATCTAAAACCGAGAGCAAAGGCCCAGATAAGAAAATTCTACCACTGGATGGATCAATTGAGTAAAAAACCGATGACAAAGTTATACCAAAAACCAAAGCAGCAGGCATGGAGAGAGAGAGAGAATAACCAACCAAACATGCAGACTGTTGGTAAGTGGTAACCCTAGATCATGTGCTAGTTCTAACAGAACAGCAGTAGAAATATACAATACGAGGGCATACTATCAGAAAGGCGAAAGAAATGCAAACCAAAACCCACATCACCACCTCGCGATCCACTGACAACAGGCAGCTAAGATTAGATTATGGAACTCTAACGATAGGACAAAGCCCATCCATCTGACCCAGTTCGGGTCCGTCAAACACATGAACCTACAACGGTGCAATTCAGGATCTCAGTTCTCAGAGAGAGGGGAGAGAAAGAGAGAGACAGAGAGAGATGACAATTACCTGGAGTGAATATGGTGTGAGGGCTACCCAGGGGCGACGAGGCATCGCACTCAGAGGCGGCGGTGGACGAAGAAGATGACTTGGATACGCTATCGTTATACTGCTTGTTGACAGCATAAAAAAGGCCCAAAGCTGGCAAGGTATCGGAGAGCCTGCTGTCCAAATCGGGGGAATCGAACCCAAAACCCAACTCGATGCAGGCCTTGAGCTCATCGAGGTCCTCGTCCGTAACGCTCTTGCTCCGCCTTCTCCTGTTGTTTTTGCTGTTGCCTTTTCGTCTCAGCCAGGCCTCATCCCGATACGTATCGGAAGACCAGGAGCGCTGCTTGTAAAGCGACGACGGTGGCGACTTGAGTTGCGACATGGCCCCGACCCACCCACCCTCACCACCCCTTAGCGGGGGAAGTGCTGGGTCGCGGGAGGTCACCTGACCTTCTTCCTTTTCTCTCGCCGTTGGCTCTTTTTATTAGGCCTCCAGCGCAAAGGCGAGGGTTTTTATTTGGTGAAAGCCTGAAAGGTGACGTGTCATTGTATTATTGTATTGATGTTGTGGGTTAGCTGTCAGTCATGGCAGATTGGTGGGAGTGTGAGAGATGATGGGCCCATCGCTTCCAACCCTAAGCTTCGGTTGGTTTGCGTTATCATTATTTGTCCTGCTTTTCCAAAAGCTAACACCCAATTCCTTCTGATTTTAACAAAAGCAAGGTAGAAGAAGCCCAGATGTCATGGGGACGTCCCACTGGGAGCGGGTCGTGGGACCGTTCAACTTCCCAAGATGCCCACGCGTCCCCAAATAGGGACATTTTGGTCACTGTAGATCTATAATTCTAATAGACACCTACCTACCCACCCRCCCACCCAGGCCAAGGGGGAGCGTGCCATTTCCAACTCATTATGGTGAGGTGACTAAGAGGAGTGAAGTCGTTCCTTGGTTACCCCCATTAACGTCTCCAATATGAAATATCTACAGTCTACAACATCTATCAAACAATATCTACAGTCTACAACTACGTGTGGTATCATGGTATGGTACCCAACTTTACAGTTAAAATAGATCCCACTCCACCAAGGAGTGGTATCATGGTATTGTCAATTTGTCATGCACTTACCCGTTCATGCCTGCTTGCGTTTGAAAAGAATTGCATCCAAACATACCCTCAATCCCTCATGATCATGGGCTCGTGGATCTCGCCTATAATGGAGCGTGGTCAACAAGTCAACGGGTGAATGCGTGTTCTATACGTGTAGGGCTGGAACTGGTAGACGTGGATCCGGTCCAACTAAGCACAAGGATCCCCACTAGACCTGACATGGGTCGACCCACTTAGTGTTGAGCTGGCGAAAGCTTGAACGAAGTAAAGAGTAAAGGCCTGTTTGGCACATTTTTTTGCACGGTCTTTTGGCTGTTTACAAGTCGAGAAGACTAATTTTCGGTCTATTCCCGTTTGAATTGCAGAAGTTCTAGCCGCCAAAAGATGGTGCATCGAAAATATGCAAGAAGCTTATTTAGGGCTGATTTCAGGAAATTAAGCTGATTTCCCACATCTTTTGCTTTTTAATCTCACACGAAAAGATATAGGCAGACGCACGAAAAGACACACACTTGTCAAGCTATCTTCGGGCTGCCTATATCTTATATCAAAAGCTCAATGCATCATTTAACTATCGGAACTACAAAAAAATCTTCTCAAAAAGACGCACCCAACAAGTATACTTTAGATCAAAAATAAACGAACAAGTATATAATCTTCTTCTAGATGAAATCGACCCTTGGGGAAGTATTGAAATGCTAGAAACTTGAAGGAAAAGAATAAGCCAAGAGGAAGAAGGCAGATGAATTTAATTTGACTTGTCAACTCTATTATTTTTGTTGGTATTTAAGAAAATTTATCTTAATATATAATTGCAAAGAGAAGACTTAGGTCTCCTACTCTCCTCTTTTATATTATTGTTAATTGTTAATCAATCACATGAGACAAATTAACGAGTATTTGTATATCTACGGGCTATGGCGAACTATTTTGGGAGAAAAAAAAAGTGTATTTGCATTGCTGATGTTATAATTTTGACAAGAACTCATTCCTTACCGTTGAGTTGATATTTATTTGCGTGTAATTTTTTTAACTTACTAAGGTCTTATTTGGTTCGCAAGAATAGGGGGTCTGGAATCGGAATTGAAATAGGTTATTTGGATTTTAACTGTTTGGTTGGACAAATTAGAATCCTATTTTCTGCTCCTTTTTTGGGGAATGAAATCTCATTCCTACTGCTTCCAATTTTCATTTTCATTTTTGTCTGAACCAAATAAGTTATGAAAACAATCCATTCTAATTGTGATTTTAAAAGACTTTGATTCCGATTCTAACGGTAAACCAAACGGACCCTAATTTTTGAGAGGGAAGGGATTAAGAGAAGATCTCACTGGGTCATGTTTTTAATACTTAATTTAAGGTGTATTTGATTTGTAGTTGCATTCGTGTTTCATTTGGTTTATAAACGCACTACAATGGGAGTTTTTTTTTTTTTTCTTAAATACAACTTGTTATAACTTTCTCAACCTGGTAATACATTGGATAAACTCTACACACACTGTGCAAGTACAAGCATCCAGTAATACATTGGGAGCATCTCCCATGTGTGGGAGATTTTCCCGATTGTGATTGGATAACAAGTGTGCAGAGCTTTTGTTTGAAGGATAATGGGATTCAAAAGACATGACATAGCAAATATATGGTCTATCTCATGCATTAATATGACATAGCAATTTCATATTTGTATTTCTTATAACAGTAGTTCTGGTTACCTTAAAAAAAAAAAGAGCTACAGTGCTCCACAGCTTAGCCAGTGACGACCATGCATCCTGCTTGGGGACCATGCAAACCTACCTAACCCATTTGAAAAGGTTGCTGGGTTAATGGGTGGGGTCCAGAATTGCCACCCTTGGTCGGCTCAAGCTTTTGTTTACCAGTATATATATAATAACAAGTTAATTACTGAAATTACATATATAATACAGTTATGGTAAACTGGTAATTAATCTCTTGTTAAATAAGAAATAGAGGTGATAGCGCCTTTCAGCTACTATGCCAAGAGAAGAGATATTCTATTCTATGAAAAAAAAAAGAAAGAAATCAATTGATAGCTGTCAAAAACAAATTCATTGACCTTGGATTAGGAACTTGGGTCACCACATCTCCTGAGTAGTCTCATCTGGCATTAAGTGATGATCAACCCATAGATCTCCCAATCCGACCCGTGAATTTAACCCGACCCACCTCGGAAAAGACTCGGATCCCCATCTAGTGACCCAAACCAGAAGACAATCTGACCCATCATCAGGTCACCTCTTTTTCAACCAATGCTTGCTTTCAAATTGATATTAACCATCCATCCAAAATTGCCTTGACCCAACCCAACCGGACTGCCAGGTATATCATCTGCACCCACCTATCTTCTTTGCTAATCGCCTTTGCTCCCACACGACTCATCTTAAGTGACCCAATGACAAATTGGCCTTTAATAATCCAATAAAACCATATAATACCCACTACGGCGTGGAGGTGCTAGGGTCACCGTATATATATATAATTAAAAAAAGTTCGTCTATTTCTAACTCTCAAAGATACTTCAATTAGACATTTTATTTAATCTTAAGGGTCTCAAATCTTAATGGATGTGTCATTTCTAACGCCATGATATTGAATTATTTAAAATTCATAATAATAATATTCGCCAAAGAATATATCTGTATTTTGTAATACAGTTATTACGATCTCTAAGCCATGTAGTCAACTATATATTAGGGATTATTGCAGATAAGATAAAAAAATAAGAGGGTCCCAATTGAATAACGCATCCCATGTGCCATGTTGGATTTAATAGCGTCATGGGAGATTCATACAAATGCAAGGTTGTGGGTGTGGGGGCAATTGAAACCTTTTTTTTTTTTTGTTTAATCCAGCAATTACTTGGCTCAATCGATCAGAATACTCCAAGCACTAACCAATATAGCAAAAAATCTTGTTGTCTGAAGGGATGTTTTTTGAAGGCGTTGCCCGAAGGGATTTGGATTTTGGAGGAGGATTCCTCTTGTATCATATGCTTCTCGTCTTAATTAACAATAGTAGATATAGTCTGTTTTGGAGTAATTCAGGGTCTCGTTTCGTTATGATGCAAATATGTGTGAATACAAATATGTAGAGTATAAAATGATTCATATAAATTATAAAGTTGGGTTAATTTTGCATTAACAAATTTAACTTCTTATCAAATAGACTTTTAGCTGTAATAGATGCAAATACAAATTTCAATAAAGCATATATATATATATTTGTATCAAAAGCCCACTTGAATGCAAATTTACTTCTTTTTTATTGATGTACTTTTACATCTTATTATCAATGTAAATATGTATTGGTCTGTTAATTTGTCAATGCAAAAATATAATATTGCCAAACACAGACAAAAGTGAACTAGAGTGCAAATTTATCCTGAACCGGGATTTACACTCCATTTGCATCATTTCCAAACACAGCCCATGGGAGGGGCAGGGAATGACCATTCTCTCAAATGGGGAATGTCATTCCAACAGGAATGAAAATGGGAATGGGATTCCTTCCACCCAACCAAACAGTTGGAATCGGAATAACCCATTCCGATTCTGATTCCAGACCTCTATTCCCGTGAATCAAACGGGGCCTCACTTTATATTTGCATCACATTGGAACCATACCTTCATTAGTAGAGATTCCATTTAGGGCTCCAAAGGTACAATTTATCCAAACTCAAATTCAAGTGAAATTAAAGCATTTTTTATTAATTTTATTAATAAATTAGTTTTAATTTATTTTAGTAAAAATGAATCTTTATCAATTTTAATATTTTTATTTCTCCAAATGGATTTTAAAATAATAAAAATAATTTTGAAAATAATATATTTTCCTTAGTTTCTATTTATGTCTATTAATTATTACTATTGTAGAATTTTTGTTGTTAATTGTAATTCTGAATATGAATGTAATTATTTATATCAATTAAATTTATTAAAAATTAATTTTGAAATTGTAAAACTTTTATTAATTAATTGTGAAGTTTTTAATATAATTAATTTTTAAATGGATTGAAATTATACTTTTATTTATAATAATTTATAATTATGATATGATTATTAAGTCTTAATATTATATTATTATATACTTTTAGTGTATTTATTCGTTTTAATGAAATTTAATAGGATTTCAAATTAATGGTAATAGAGAGGGTTCAAAATAACCCACTTTGCCCATTTTCTTCACCTAAATGAAGACAAGGGTTCATTTTGTCTAAATTGGGTTCCTCCATGAAAAAAAGGATATGCTTGCTCCCTTATTGTATTACTCATATGTTTTATGATTAATAAATGCATTCTCTTTCAACCCCCACCCCACAAAATAAAAAAGCTAGTAGTA